TTCCAATATCCATCAAGAATCGATTTCCACTCTTCTTCTGTTGGATCTCTCAGATACAATGGAGTCAAAATATCAGAAATTACAGCGCAGATTTTTTTTATTATATTCCTTACTGTGGATTGACCGACTCGAAAAGAAAATGCAATTGAATTTATCGAATTCCCGATCACAATATATCTATAAAGCAATAGAATTATTAAAAGTACATTTACAATATCCAAACACAAGTAAATTTAGTCATACTGATATACATAAATACAAATCACCTCAGAGCAATAACGAGCCTTTCTTCTGGAATGAGAGCTCGCTTGCTCCTTTTAATAAGGCGAGGTTGTACAGAATGTAATAATTTGTTAAATTGCAACATTGACATTCTGCTGTATTCAAAGAACATACATCTGTCCTCAGATTCTATGAGCTCTTTAAATAAATTATGGTACTCCCCTTAATGCAATCTATTCTGATTAATTGGCCTTACGTACCATCTTCTGTTGACCCATCTCTTATTCTTTCTTTATTGTTTTAACTTAATTTTTATTAAAATTGTTATGTATAATAATAAAAGTAATAACAGCTTTTGATGCATGTTTTGCATTTTGGACTACTTTATTTTTATCTCAAATTTTTTATGCAACGTTAAACTATCTGAAATAAAATTAGAGTAATATGTATGAGTAATTAGATTATATGTAAATTAATAATGAACATAATATCGAAAATAAAAAACCCAGATAGTGGTATGGTTATTTGAAAATAAGAGGTTATATTTTAACAATACCTGCGAAAATGAACTACTCCAACAAAGTTATAAATATGAATAAGAGTATTAATTTATCAAATTAATCATTTACAAAACTTTTTTACAATAAAATATGTCATATACTTACCTCATATATAACGACGCTTTGATCACTCTTTTGCTACGTTACCTTTGTTTTGTTACGGTTACGTTTTTCTCTGTGCGTTGACTGAAGTTTAAGGTTACGGACGAATCTAAGTTTACGGTTAGTACTTAACGTAACGTAAAGCCCGAATCACACTAGCGGCTCGCGGTTGCGATTGCGATTGCCTCAGCCAATCAGAAAGCACCAATTGCAAGTATGATTGGAGCGCTCATATTTGAAACACACTAACCTTACCATTAACATTATTCAGAAATACAAATAAAAATAAACATTTAAGAGGAATTAAATATTATGTTCTTTTTATGTACAACATTTTAAAACAATATAAGGGAATTTTTGGCGTGACTGTGGTACAGTTTGGTACGTTTTGTTTGCTATATCAGAGTCCCGCCAAAAATCGCCTATATACTAAAAAATTCTTTAAACTTTTTACTTCGTCTTTATTAAATATGATACAATAATTTATAAAACTTCCTTACATATTTTTCATTATTAATCTTACTTTTTAGCAGGGTTGAGTAGTAAAACTAGTTAAAAAGTTAAAAGTTAATAATAAAGTTAAAAAGTTAATAACTTTTAATTTAACTTAGTTAATTTTAAATGATTTTTAACTTCAACTAGTTATTTTTAAAACACATAAACTTTAACTTATTAACTTTTTCTTAAGTTAAAAAATTATGTATGTAAAGGAAAAAAATTATAAAAGAAAAACACGTTCTTACATAAAAAACAATATTTCTTTGTTATTTTATATAAACTTAACTTACAAATAAAATATTACATTTATCTGATGACATTATTACAACTGTTTTGAGCAATGTAACTTTAAAAAATTACGAATTTCTAATTTAATATAAGCAATGCTTTTCAAAATTAAATTTTAATTTAACTTAAATAAATTTAATCTTAACATAATTTTTAACTGAATTAATTTTTTATTTTAATTTAGTTAAAAAATAATATTAACGTTCACGATTTCTAGAGAATACTTTCATAATATAGTCCTTCGATAACGAATTATTGCAAAATTCTGCGGAACAGCCTCCCATTTTTGAAGAATATTATACACTTGGGCTGCGTTCGGGAAGTACGCTTACGCGCTAAAATCGTAATTCTATCTTTGTTATTTACTGAAAAATGAACAAGGACAGAGCACGCTCATGGCGCTAAAAGCGTGCTGCACGAACGCACCCTTGATCACGTTGCACTGCGGTAAGAACATATACACACGCACACATTCCCGGAAGAGCAAGATAGCCTATATTTCTCTCTCACTCGCAGGAATTTGACGAAATCTTGTGGCCAGTCTCTGATTAGAGGATCTCTAGTAAGGAACTAGGACCGAGCACATAGGGAGTTAGTGGATATCGATACGGAAACGGGCAGTAGGAATAGAATATAGCAGGTGAAAAGAAGGAAGGATAAAGGTGTGATAGAAGCGAAAGAGGTGAAAAGGGACTGGCACAAGGCAGAAGAACAACAGAGGAAGGGAAAAGAAGAGAAGGGGAGAGAGACAAGAAAAAGGGTAGAAGGAAGTAAATGGTGGAAGAAGAAAGTGAGGTTAAGTGAAGCGAGTGAATGAGAAGAACGGAAGAGGACAGGAAGGAAAGAGAAGGAAGGAGATAAAGATGGAAGGGAGAGTAAGAGGGAAGAAAGAAATGGAGAGAAGAAGGCTGGGAAAAGAAAACGGGAGGAAAGAAAAATAGATGGAGGACATGGAAAAGTGGTTGAAGGAGCTGGTGGTGGAGGTAAGGGGAATAAGGAAGGAGCTAAAATGGAGAGAAGAGAGAGCGAGAGGAAGGAGAGAAAAGGAGGAGGAAACAACGGTGTCGCAAGAAGAGGAAAGTGAAGAGGAGGAAGAAGAAGAGAGAGAGGAGGCGAGGGATCAAAGAAAAAGAGAGAAGAGGGGGTTAGGGGGAGCAAGGAGAGCAGTGAAGGAGGAAATTGTAGTGAAAAAGGAGGAATGGAGAGAGGAAGCAGAAGAGACAGGCAGTGACAAAGAAAGCGAAGAGGAAGCGGGAGAGAGAGAAGAGGAAGGAAGGAGTAGGGTAGGAGGAGAGAGAGAAGAGAGAGGAAAGGAAGAGAAGAGGGCGAGCAGGTCGGGAGAAGGGAAGAAAAAAAGGAGAGAGTAGGAGAAGAGGGAGAGAGAGGAGGGAAAGGATAGAGGAGAGCACGGAAGAGAGCACAGGAGGAGAAAGAATTGGAAGAGAGAAGAAGGAGATAAAAAGGAGAAAGGAGGACGAGGAGAAGGAGAGGGCTAGGAGGAGAAGAGAGGAGGAGAAAGAAGAAGAGAAGAATGGAGGGAAAGAAGAATGGAGTAAGGTCGAGATAAGTAGATTGTGGAAGATAGGCGTGGACGAGGACTTAACGATGGAGGAGAGAAGAATGAGATGGAGGATGGTAGAAAAAGCGAAGATGGAAAGAGGGTACGGAAGAAGCCTTCAAACCCCTTGGGGAAGAATAAATCATACATACTTACCTCATATATAATGACGCTTTGATCACTCTTTTGCTACGTTACTTTTGTTTTGTTACGGTTACGATTTTCTTTGTGCGTTGACTGAAGTTTAAGGTTACGGACGAATCTAAGTTTACGGTTAGTTCTTAACGTAACGTAACGCGTTACGAAAGAGCTTGTGCGGTGGCCCTAATACGGCTCTGTGATTGGTTGAGGACATCTTAAGATTGTGCTTAAGACGGTCTTAAATATAAAGCCCGAATCACACTAGCGGCTCGCGGCTGCGATTGCGATTGTCTCAATTGTCATAAAAATTATATGTATTAGAGAATGGAAAAGCATATATAATTTTTTTATAATAATATGGATATTTTAATATAATACAAATTATAGTGCTATTTATACAACAATATATAACAGAATTATTTTATAAGTTATACAAGTTTTATTGGTTTGAATCTTTACTGGTAATTTCTATTTTTTCATTTTTACTGCAACATTGCCAGCTTCTCACTCTTGTACATTGCATATTGTGATCAAACGATGTATTAAACATCAGTTATTAATTTATTAGGTTTTTAAGTTGGAGAACCAAAAAAAATTGTATAATTTCAAATTGATAAAACTTATAATTTGTAAAGCAATTCTTAATTGATACATTAAGTAATTGTTATATTTGTTTTAAATAGTACTACAACTTTTATTATATCAGGATATCAACATCATTATATATTAAAAAATTATACTTATTTTTCCGTTTTCTGACATATAACGTTTTCGAGTGAAGCAAGTTTAATAATTTTTAACTCTGAGAACAATTAATGTCATCATAAACTTTGTCTTGGGTTATTAGAAGTATATTTGGATTATTATATTAATCAATGAAATACTTTGAATAAGATGATTGATTAATCAAGGCAAAGAATGTGTTTTAAAGCTAAAATGGCGTCAAACGGGATATACTTTATATTATTCATATTATAAATATATTTATATTAATCAGATTCAAAACCCATTTTCGGTCGATGTTCATGGCAAATTGGATTTAATCTTTTTCAGAACGATTAAACCTGCTTCATTCGAAAAAGCTAATAGATAATTTTCATGAATAATAGTTATATAAATTCACAATATAATTCAATTTAAATGATTTAACCTTTTGTGGCACAAATTTTTCTTTAACATATTTTGCTGAAATTTAATATATGGGGGTTTTTGGAATCACTGATTACAAATTTGAAGCCTAAATTTAAAAATTCAGAATTACAAACCTAATATGTAAGAATCTTTTAGGCTTCTGATTTTAAATCTGTAGTCAAAATTTGAAAATTTAATATATGGTGGATCCAATATCAAGAAAAGGACCCTGCACACTCTTTATAGAAAATTGGAGTTGATCTTATTTAAACTCAAGAATATGTTATTAAAATTATAATCGCGAATTGTGGAATATTCTGTGTATATATATAACAATATAATATGTGGAATTGAGATGCATGGCTTTGATTTTTACATACAAATTAAATTGGTATAATATTATAGAAAAATTCCAATTTAATCACTTTTTTCCATTTTAGGCTATTCATAATAAACTTTTGGAAGATATTGGATTACCTACATGGGGCAGTTATTTGATTTTTGCTGTTGCAACAATTATTTTGGGTGCAATATTAGGATTAGTAAGTGATATATGAATTTATGCAATACATGAATTTCATATGGACATTAAATGCAAGATTAACTATATTTATATTTATATACAGCTTATTGTATGCTTGATCGACTTCATTTATCCACCAAAACCTGCACAACAACAAAACAAAAAGAAACAGAATATATTGGATGGTTCCATGCAGGAGAGAAGTTTGGATGAGGATGAAATTACTGAAAATGTTGGAGATGATTTAGTAGATGAAGAAGAATCTGAAGCAGAAGAACCTGAAAAAATAGAATCTGAGATAAAGGAACTTGAAGTGAGTGAGAAAGATAAGGATACTAAAACTGATACTAGTAGTCCCAATGTTCGCAAGCGTAAGCCACGCAAGGCTGATTAGAGACAATAGTTTGCTTAATGTAAATATTTAATAATTATGAATCAATTATGACTAACTTTTATGGTATATTCCCAAAATCATTCCTGCATTGCGATAGCACATAATGTGACATAATATCTTATATCTCAAAATCTAAATAATCAGTATAGATTATTCAAAGAAACAATCATGTTTGCTGTCCTTATATTTAAAAATTTAAGTGCCAGAAACTTCTTTAAATTATCATTGTAAATGTTTTCTTATTTACAAATATATTTTTGAAGTTATGAAAATGGACACTTCTGGTATATTACTCAGTAAAATCTTAGAACTTTATTCTAAGCAAAATACATTGTGGAGTTTAAATTTTTTTGAATGTGTTTAAGACGTAATCCTCTCAAAGTAATAAAAAAATATATATAAACATATTGGAAAAACTTTTTTCTAAGTCAAATAAATTTAATAAATGTTTTGATTAGCAAGTTATTTGTTAGATGATAATGCGTTCTTAAGAGTTCTTGAAGTAACTAAATTCTCTAAAACACTTTTTACATATGATTTTTATAAAATGTTTGAGATCACAAAAAAAGACAAAGATAAACTAAAATATCTGTATGAATTTTTTTTATGATTATAACGAGAGAGAAATAAATCTTTAAACTATTTGATAATTTCTAATGCTTTGTTTTTCATATGAGAAAAAGAAACGAGTAAAATGGAAATATTAAGAAAAAAATGGAAATATTAAGTAATATTTATTGTATATCTAACAATATGTTTAAGCATATTTGATATCTTTATTAAAGAAAAAATAATAGCATTAATTACTTCCTTTAAAGATGCATTGTAAGACCATTAAAATATAAATCTATTTATTAATTATAGTTGCTATATGACAATTATTATAAGTTTATATATTATATATTAAGACGTCCTAGAATCAGCGCACCACCTGATAATGATAGATTCTTGAGATTATTTGGAGATGAAAACCTTTATACGAAAATGTCGAGACTATAATAATTTTTGAATGAGAAGTAAGTTAAAGTAGACCAATAAGATTGCTCAAAATTTGCTTTTTTAGACACGGTGCATTGCATAGTAGTAGGTGTTTTAAGATATCAATTCACTTTTAACTATTAATATATTTTCAAAATGTTATTATAATCATTTCTCAACAATCTTCTTCACATGAAGTATATCATAGACGAATAATGTCTCTCATATAGTAAAAATGTTCTAATTAATATAATTAATAAATTATCTTTTTTCTTATCACAAAATAGAAAATTTGAATACATTGATAAAGTAGAATTCTATATACATACTTGTAATGTTAAGTTATAATGTTTATTTTTTAATGGTTATTTGTTTATTTTCTTCTTTATTTATTTTTTTTCAGTGAATTATCGACATAGAAAACTTCTATTTGATATCTTAAAGAATCTTTGTTATTGTGCGATGTATTGTGCCTGAACGCGCAAACTGTAGGCAATTATTGGCCAATTGTAAATGTTTTCCTTTTAAAAACTATTGTAGCCTCGGTATTTGGATATTAAAATTTTGTTCTCCAAATGATCTCAAGAATTTATCATTAACACATAGTGCATCGATTCTGGGACATCTTGTATATTACATCTTGTTTAATCCCTTTTTTCTATGCTATTTCTAAATAAAGTATTTTATTATATTTAAAAAATTATTGAAAAATAATTGGAGAGTTATTTTAATTATATTATACACACAGATCGATTGTTTTTATAATATTTTTCATATATACATTTTGGTTAAAATATACAGGGTGTCACTTAAAGACCGCCCACTAAGTTATTTCTTACCAAAAAATGAGTCGAAAAATCCTGAATCATTTTTTTCTATAACATTTAATAAAGGAGCAATTATTGAGTAAAGTCAGGCCAATCGGCGCCGACCTTTAACCGGGCGCATCAGTGAGACGCGTGCCTGGTAGTGTGTGCTCATGCATTTTTTGGTAAAGAATAACGCTATGTACTTAGTGGGCGGTCTTTAAGTGACACTCTGTATAATTATACTATAATATTTTGAAACACATTACTAACAAAAAAAATAGGGAATACTTTTCATACCCTAAAAATTGGGCTATTTTCAAGCCACTGACACTCGAAAAATTATCGTATACAAAAAACTGAAATGCATTTTGAAGCCTGAAGTTTCAACTTTAACATCCTATCGGTAGTTTCTAAAAAATTTTTTATCTTGTTCTGTGCTTTAAAAAAGGACATATTATTTTGTTTCTTAAAATTATGTATCTTTGACACTCTGCAACACGATAAAAAAATTTCTCTCGAAAAATTCAACTTAAATTCCATAAATTACATTTTACCTACAAAATGCTATTTTTAAATTTTTAGGGCATGAAAAGTGTTCCCATTTTTTTTTTTTTTTTTAGGTAGTGTTTTTTATTTATTTAATATAATTATACGTGCATTTATATAAAAAGAAATTATGAACTTTTTCCTAAACAGATTGATAATTTTATTAGCATGTATTATAATATTAATGTAACATATTAACAATTGGTGTTCATTTTTATTATTAATTAGAAACAGTGATCATTGAATATAGGTTTTAAGAAGAATGTTTTGTATATTGGTTTTTTTATAGATATGATTGCTTTCTTTTTATAAACTATAACAATTTCTATCAATGATCCGATAAAATCAATTTATCATTAAAATGCTACAATGCACAATACTACCTTTTGTAATACATTTTAAATTACATTTTTATAAAGGCCTACTTTAGCTTGCTATATCTGAAATTATTTTACCGACTTTTATACAATACTATGAAAAAAAGTGTGTATGTATGTGTGTGTATATGCATGTGTGAGTAATATAGTTATCTTCATAAAAATATTCTTTCATGCCACTATGACAAGATATGTATGTTATATTAGAATTATGAATAAATGAAGTCTCTGTTCTTAAAAGAAGTATAATTATCGATTATTAATAGTATTAAAGCTATTTTATTTATAATTTTCATATATGTACTTTATATATGTATATATATATATATATATATACTCTTTATATACACTTTGGCGTGATTTCTACAGTGAATTATTATATATGCTATGTCTTCAACATTTCCAATATACATAAGTAATTCGGTTTGCCTATGTTGTTTATGTACAAGGGCCGCGACGCTACCAATAGCTTATCCGGAGTTTTACGTCTAATAAACTTTCGATTAAAATTCCTCAGGAACTAAAGCCGTAATCAAAAATCTAACGGCACTTTTCTTATACAATATGGATGCAAGCTTTCGATTGCGACCAGTTTGAATAAGATTGGTGCAGTCAATCCTGAGGAATGATAATCGTATACCAGAAACGTGATTATTTTTTCTTCATAATAATAATAAGGTTCAGACTCTCACGTACGTATGCTCGCACGCACACACGCAAAGCGATTTTGTCCCTCACGCCGCATTTGCAACGCAAATGTACGGTTATTCGCTTGAGTACCAAGTTTTGAGCGAATTTGATGCCAATTTGGCAATAATTTGTTATCAAATTGCTTACTGGGTTATTATGAAGATGGAAATGTACAATTTGTCAGCGAGAAGCAAACAGCGAAAGATTTGATGCATGCTGATTGTAAAATATAGGATGTAAGTCTACGTCTAGTATGTATAATATCAGTAAAATGATTTATTTATATATGATGCGGAAAATTTACAGTAAATACATAATACAGTAATACAGTAAATACAGTAAATAACATAATACAGTAAATAACAGTAAAATTAAATATCATTGTTATTATTATTATTAATTATTATTATTAATTATTATTATTATTAATTATTATTATTATTATAAAGAAAAATATACACTACGTAAGTAGCAAAGTATCAAGCAATATAGTATAATTAAAATTCTGTAATTAAAATATTACCTTGTCCAATATCGTCCATGGGATCGGCCGTAACGGGGCCAGCGATAGGGCCGGTGGCGATACGGCCGGCGACGGGGCCGGTGGCGATACGGCCAGCGACGGGGCCGGTGGCGATACGGCTGGCGACGGGGCCGGTGGTTATGTGACCGGCGACGGGGCCGGTTATGTGATTGCGGCCGACGACGGGAACGTCGGCGACGATCGAACTAGCGACGGGAGCGGCGGCGACGCTATTGGCGATGATGGGATTAGCGACGGGAGCGGCGGCGGCGACGGGATCATCAAGAGAAAATCCCTTCATAAAATCGGCATCATCATTTATCAACATCTACAAAATTTTTTAATTTAAATATGATAAAATTTAAATATGATAAAATTTAAATATATATCAAAAATAGTACTTACTTCTTCTTCTCTCATCTTCGCTCTTTCCATTTTTTTTAGTTGGGAGAAACGGCAGATGGATCCTGATCTTGTTGCTATTTACTTTATTACAAATATTTTTTTTCTTTATGGTTCTGCTACAATTATCGATTAAATCATTATTGTTTCTCATTGGCTGTATTATTTTAAAGATAGCGGATTTTGCCATAATTATCGATTGAATCATTTTAAAGATAGCGTTCCATTAATTTTTCGTATTTTTCATTATGTTGCGTTACTATAGCAAAATTTATTCTTTGATTACGATTACGTGCTTTACGTAGGTTAGATTACTTGCAATCGTAACCTGTTACGTGCATCACGATTACTAATCGAAAACAATTCTAAGCAATAGGTAAAAAATAGTATTTATCATAAGTCGCAATATTATTTCATTATAGCCACTATTATTGTAGTTGCCATATAAAAGGACAGACTGCCATTGGCTTTGGACAGTGGCAAATAGACAAATAATTTCGATTACATAAGAAGATATTATTTAAAATATATTTATATGTGATATTATCGTGGACTGCAATTGTTAATAATGAATAAAAATTTTTATTTACAGGTTAAATTGACAATTTTGTCAATTGTTAGGTGTAGGTGTAGGTGATTGACAATTTTGTCAATTGTTATATCGGCTGCTCTCTGGCGCTGGGTTTCGGCTGCCATAAGCGCTGTATTAAAAAATCAGCTGCCATAAGCGCTGTACTAAAAAAATCGACTGCCATAAACGCAGTATTAAAAAATCGGCTGCTATAAGCGCTGTATTAAAAAATCGGCTGCTATAAGCGCTGTATTAAAAAATCAGTTGCTATAAGCACTGAATAAAAAAATTAGCTGCATTAAAGTTAAATCTTGCCTTGTCTTAGCAGCTTGATATTATTGAGAATATTTGTCTGTATAATTAAGAATTATTTGTTGTAAGAGCGTTAAATTTGGATGCTCAATTGTTTTAAATTATTAAATATTTATATAGCCTGTTTTAAAATGTTAAACAATAATAAATTTTAAATAAATAATATTCTAATTTTTATTGTGTTCAATTTGTTATGTCTGCTAATAAAATAATGGATAATACTCAATCGCCAAATACCTATGCGATGCAGATAATATTTGAAGATAAATGGTTAGAAGACATTCATATTGATCACTTTGGATTATTATTAAAATCTTGTTCGGTATATCAACCACGTGAAACATGGAGAATACAATGTCCCGATACAATCGAATCTGTTTGTAAGGAACAGAAACATATTCAAATATTACATAGTTATAGCGATATGATTAATAATGAAAATGGGCATTGGGTTTGTAGCTATTATGATACAAAAGCTATTTATATTTATGATTCATTGAATTTAAAACGCTTGCATGCTCATCATAAGATATATCTTGACAAGTTATATCCATTTTATTCTTTTGATAAGAAACCGGTACGATTTCCATTAATTCAGAATCAATCTAATGCTTCTGATTGCGGTGTTTTTGCAATTGCATTTGCAGTATCACTTTTATTTGGCCTTCGACCAGATACAGTTATGTATGACCATACTTTAATGCGTCAACATTTGGCACACATGTTTCAATTAGAAAAAATAGAACATTTTCCTCGAATTATAAGACCTAATGATCCAAAAAAATTATTTAGTTTAGATGAAATACAAAAAAAGGAAGCCTTAGCTAGAAAAAAAACGAGAATGTCGACAAAAGAAAACTGAACTAGAAAAGTCTGCAGATTTAATAAAATTAAAAAATAATATAACTGAAATGACAATGGAGCAAGTAGTAAAAAAATATGATAAAGATCCGTTTGATCGTTATAATATAATAAATAAAAATAATAATACTGTAAATGAATGTAATGATGTTGAGCATTCTACTCATAACACTTTTAAGAATTCTTTTTTATCATTGCATATTTCTGCAGACAAAACGCAAAATATTAAAAAAAATTATACATGTATTCAGGAAAATACGTTGTTAACAGATGTCAGTTCTTGCATAACAAAAATAAACGCACACAAATATATAAATCTTGTTGCAAATATTTTACCTTTAAGTATACAGAATATACAGATTATTCTTAGAGGTGAATGGTTAGAAGATATTCATATTGAGTATTTTGGTTTATTATTGAAAAGTTGCTCAAAATATCAACCACGTGAACCATGGAAAATTCAATGTCCTGATAGAATTGAACCTGTTCCCAAAAATTAAAAACATATTCAAATATTGCATAGCTGTAGCAATATAGCAACTAATTTAGATGGCCATTGGGTTTGCAGTTATTACGATACCAAAATGATTTATATTTATGACTCACTGA